CGTCACGGACGCGCAGTTGATATGCTAGCGTGACGCTTTACACGCCAACCTTCATTCAGCTATAGGGTCTTTGCTGTGTGGGACTTGAACGAGTCGGACTTGTTTTATCAGTACTGCGTTCTTCAACTGCAACGAAGCGGCGATAGACGCCGACAATGCCAGCTTCAGTGCACCCGACCTTGATAAAGCCAACAGTCTCAAGCTTGCAGCTGTGGACATTGTGTGAACGCGGTTAGCTGGCGACACGCGTTGCGTTGCTCCCACCTTAAGCCATTGCACAGGGAGTCTCACCGCATCGTGACGCCCATGGTGCCCATGACGTGACGAGCGGCAAGAGACTGCACGAGCGGGAAGAGACTGCAGCTTCCACCAGTTGGCCAGGTTGACAGCGCGCTGTGCCAGCTCAGCGGGACCAAGGTGCATTGGCCAATCACCACACTCATTTCCGAGAATTAACGTTCACACGAGATAGTGACCAATCACAGAGCCCGATGCTTGGAACACGCAGATGATTGGGCAATTTTCAATCTCAAACCATCGCCACCTGCGCGAGAGGCCAACGGGCCGATGCGAGCGACCAGCATTTCCCAATTTGCGCGCGACTGGAGACGACGATGAGCCACGGGTACGCAGGACGGGGCGGACGCTGGACGATCCCGCAAGACGCCGGAAGAGGACGGGGACATGCAGGTCGCGGCCGCGGCCGAGGCGACGGGGGACGAGGAGACGGAGGTCGAGGAAGAGGCTTCTTCGATGGGGGACGAGGCCGTGGACGCGGAGGCCGATGGATCCCCCCATCGAACGCGAGACGGGGCAGCGGCCGTGGTCCGACGACGGGAAGCACCGGGGGTCCACCATGGGGCCGCGGAGGCGGCCGGACTAGCAACGCTAGTCGTTCCGAGAACGACGTTGCGCGCTTTCTGCGACTTCTGGACGCCCAAGATGGACCGAAGCTGGCCGAGACGATCCGGGCTTTTGAGACGACGTCGTGGAACACGTGCTGGAACGACTACGACCGCTTGTCGGAACAGCAGCTCCACATCCTCATCGTGTCCCTCGTCAAGCTTCCGTACTCGTCGCCCGTGAAGCAGCCACCCAGCGCAAGCTGCCGCCGAGTCGGTGATGCGTATGCCACTGCCATGCGATCTTCTTCCAAGAACGATGACGAGACCATCGCGGCAGCAGAAATTCTCGTTCGCTTTGTGCAGGTACTTTATTATGCGACAACCTAGCGGGGGTATTCATGGACTGTACGTAGCGCTTGCTCAAATTCCACTGGGATGAAGATCAATGCGCTGTTAAGGAAGAGCTCGGAGCCATTTTGTGCGCAGCGTCGTCGCTTCTGCGCATCAACCGACCCGAGCACCGCGCGGCCCAAACCAAGATCACGGAGCTGCTCGACGAGCTCGAGAAGCCGTGGATCATCCTGCTTGGAAGCGGTGCGCGAGATGATGCTCCAGAGGTAGTCTTGCCGTCGACTCGCCCGACATGGGAGCTCGCGACCGTGGACTGGCTGCTGAACCCGCGGTTGTTCCAGCCGTCGTGCTTGCCGGTGATGAAGACACCCGACACGCCATCGGCTGGCGTGTACCCGTCGCGAGACGATTACATCAAGACGATCGAGCGCCTCTGGACGGCAATGACGTTTGGGGACGGCAACGGAGCACTGAGTTCCAAGTGTCTCGAGCCCGAGTGCAACCAAGTTCTCTGGCCGTGCCACCACGGTGCGCCTGGAGCAGCGACGTGCCGCACGCGTGATTGTCAGCGCCCCGTCGTTCTTGTGTGCTCGCATCGTCACCACAACCGCGGGCTCTGTGGAACGTGCGCTGCGCGGTCTCAGACGGGGCTCATTGGTCCACCAGGCATCAAGGCGTCGACGCATGTGTACGACGCAGAGGTCTTTCACGTGGGTACCGACGGTCGCATTTTTCTCGGCAACGTCATGAGCCGCCGCCCGCCAGCCCAGGCCATCCACTGGCGAACGACGAACCGTTTGTCGTGCCCAAACCTCGTGGGCTTTGTCAAGGTCTCTGGGCGTGGTGTGCCCTTGCGTGGGCCCGACCGCATCACGTGGGCGTCGATCGTGCCACACGAAGACAGTCGCTTTGAAGACAAACGTCGAGAAGCCGGCGAGCTCGCTGTGCTTTGTTCGGGCATTGTGAACGTGAACGTGCACGAGCTCGTGCACATCGGTGACCACCTTGTTGTCGTCGACTGCCAGATCTTTGTGCCCGAGTTCATCCCGGTCTTAAAAGCGCTCGAGCTCCAAAAGGCGATCACGCTACCATTCGGCGACGGCACGTGGCTGAACTTGTCGTCGCACGCCCCCGCGACCTCGAGTTTGGCATTCGTCGAGGGTGACGACGACGATGTGCTTCTGGATCGCATGCTGGCCATGAGCACGCTGGACCCGATTGTGCAAATTCGCCGCGACTCTCGCGCCCGCGCTCAGCTGCACACTCGTTTGATCGAGCTCATGCGCGAGTTGACGCTGGACCCGGGCCAGCGGCGGAGCTTTCTCGAAGCCTTGACCCACCCCGTGCATTTGACCCAAGGACCACCAGGGACGGGCAAGTCGTACTTGGGTGTCGGTCTCGCGCGTGCTTTGCTCATTGTGCGCAAACTCTGGATCCAGCAGTGCCCCTCGGTTGGGCAGCCGCCGATTCTAGTTCTCTCGTACAAGAACCATGCGATCGACGAGTTTTTAAAGGACCTCGTGCGCACGCAATCGAGCCTCAAGTACGGGACAAACGGGCTCGTTCGCATTGGCGGCGTGTGCAAGGACCCAGAGCTGGCGCCGTTCTCGGAGCAGAGCGTATTTTGCTCCCACAAGGAAGTTAAAGCTCAGAAGGTGCACCTCGAACAGCTGCATCAGCTCCGCGGCGATGTGCGCCACTTCAGCGACGACATTTCGCCGCTTGTCAACTTCCAGTACAACTTGCTCAACGACGCGACGAAGGAGAGCACGACTGCCGCGGTGTACGTCCAGACGCTCTTGCTGCACCTCGACATGCACGCGTTCACGGGCGACGCGGTGTTTGACGACCCATCATGGCGCACGATGTTTGACGCACTCAAAACGTCGACGATGCAACCAATGGCGGGCGACCACATTGAAGGTAGAGACATCGATACCCATCAAAGCTCATGGATGGGGATTTAGGACTCATGCGTGGCATTGCACACTACCACAACCAATTCCAAACTACAGAAGTGCTCTGGAAGTGGATGACGGGGTTTGTTCCGCTACCGCAATGTCGCTTTTGCAGCGGCGATACGACGTGTGATCGCGTCGCGTGGTCGCGCGAGCTTGCGCTATGCGAGAGCCATGTGTGCAGCATGGACGACTGCACGGATGCGGTGGCCGACGAGGGTCGCTCGTACTGTCGCCAACACGCATGCACCTCGGGTGAATGCGACAACTATAAGTTGCCAGGCCAAGTGTTGTGCGAAAGCCATGCGTGCTTTGTTTGCCTCGCGAGCTGCCCGTCCAAGCTGGCGCATCCCGCCGAAGACGCACCGCCTCGCAACGTGTGTAGTCGACACCCTTTGTGCTGTGCGTCGATGTGTATCAACGAGGTGCTCGAATCGTCGGACTACTGTACGGCGCATCAGAAGACGACGTGCCGCGGCAAGACGAAGAAGGGCTACGCCTGCAAGGCGAAGGTCAACAGCCTCAACCTACCGTTCTGTGCGGCACATCGCTCGCAGGCAACACGCGCAGCCACAACCACCGTGACGGCGGTCGAGGTCGCAACAGCAGTGCCAGCGCCGAATGACCAAATGGACGTTGATGACGCCATGTACACGTCGTGCTCCGCCAAGACGCGCAAGGGCAAGCCGTGCAAGGCGGTCTTTTCGCAACAGAAAATCCCCTTCTGTGTCGACCATAAGTCCCAGTACGTGGCCAAGCCGACGACGACCGCCCCTCCCCACGTTGCGCAAGACGCAGTGCCGGGGGCGGTTTCGCCGCCAGCGACCGACTGTGCCGAGAAGCCATCGTCACCGGTTTTGCTGGCAGCTCACGCAGCGAGCCCGAGTGAGAAGATTACCAAGTCGAGCGATGATGAGGCAAGCGACTCGGAAGACAGCAACGACGACTACACGGGGCTTCTGGACGAGCCGTGTGACAAGGCAGCACTTGGCAATGAAGACGAAGTCGAAGAGTCGGAGCACTTGCAGCATCTGCGCGAGGTCTTTGATGACGTGGTGTACACGCGCGGCGACGTCGACGGCAGCGAAGCCCTTGAAAACGAGATCTCGGACGCGAGCATGAGCAGTGCTGCCACTGCAGCTCCCGAGTACGACGAAGCTGCCGTCGTGCCACCGCGGGACTGGTCGTGGGCGATGTCGTTGGACGAGCGCCGTCGTCAATTGATGCTTCTCGAGTCGCGCCATCGTGGTATCCTTGCTGCATGGCTGGGCTACCTGGCCAAGAGCGTGGAACACGCGCGCCAAATGCTCCATGACGCCGAGGTCAAGGCGAAGGCGCGAGTGTACGAAGGCAAGGCTGTGATTGGCGGCACGATCGTTGGCTGCATTTCGCGGCTCGAGTCGATCCGGTCGACGAACCCGTTTGCCATCATTGTCGAAGAGGCATCCGAGGTCCTTGAGCCGCTTTTGTTTGTGTGCCTCGGCGCCAGCACGTGCAAGCTCGAGATGATTGGCGACCACCTCCAGCTCAAGCCCTCGGTGCAGTCCAAGTTCAACTTTGAGCGCATCAACAAAATTGGCGTCTCGATGTTTGAGCGACTCATTCGCGCACCCGCCGACCACGCTGTGCCCACGTCGGTGCTCGCGATTCAGCGCCGCATGCGCCAAAACATTTGCGACTTGACGCGCGCGTTTTACACGGACATCGTCGCGATTGAAGACCACCCGACGTGCGCGACGCGGACGCTGCCGACGTCGCCACTTTTAAAGTGCCTCCCGGCGCATGGCCGCGATGTGCCCGGTGTTTTGCCGCACGTGTATTTCTGGACGCACGAAGGCCGCCAACAAAAGGCATCGGTTGGTCTTTCGAAGATCAACACCTATGAGGCCGACATGGTCGTTGCGCTTGCAAAGTACCTCGTCGCGTGCGGGGTGAAGCCGTCGTCGATCGCCATCTTGACGCCGTACAAGGGCCAGCTTATGCTGATGCGCGAAAAGCTGATGAAGGCCAAGCTCGTCCACCGCGAGGCGTCAACAACAGCCGACACGGTCTCGCTCTCGACCGTTGATCGGTTCCAGGGCGACGAAGCCGACATCGTCTTGATCTCGCTCGTGATTGACGCCAAGTCGCGCACGCCGTTTGTGAAGCTCGTGAACCGCATGATTGTGTTGCTGAGCCGCGCTCGTATCGGCATGTACATTGTGGGCAACGTCGGCTACTTTGAGACGACAGACAACCAAGCCGTCGCCCATTGGCAGGCAACGCTCTCAAAACTTCGAGGCCCCGCAGCGAACGACTCTGGTGACGACGTTGACACGGTTTGGTTTGGCGATAGCCGGCTTGGGCCCAAATTGCCCATCTGCTGCCCGCTGCACCCCAACGAACGAGTTGTCTTGGCGACACGGCCCGACCAGCTTCAGCTCGGGTTCTGCAACGTTGTCTGCAACGCCGCCCTTCCATGCTCGCACGTGTGCGGCAAGACGTGCCATTGGCCAGCGTTGACCCACAACACGGCGTGCTCAGTGCGCGTGCCGTCGCCGTGCCATCGTCACACCACTGCACTAGTGTGCGCCCAGATCTATGCAAGCCTCAGCGGCCGCCGAGCACCTGGTTCCATCGACCAAGCGCTGACACTGTACCAGTGCAGAGTGAGCGTCGACGTGCTCTTGCCGTGCTCCCACACGGTGTCGATGCCGTGCGTGGAAGAAACCGAAATTTCGGAAGGGTTCCGTTCTTGGCCAGAATGCAACAAGGCCAGCGTCGCGCCGTTCATTTACACAGCGTGCAAGCATACGCTTACGTGCACGTGCGCCGAGTACGTCCGCCTCACGGCCAATCCTACGTCGGCCAAGAAGTGCATGACCACCGTCGAGTATGTGCCGGCGTGTGGCCACGGGGTGTCGATCCCATGCTACGTCCGCCAGCAGTACGCGGCCGCCCCCCACGCGTTCATTTGCTCGAAAAAGCTGACGGTGGCCCTGCCACGATGCGGTCACCTTGTCACGGTGCCGTGCAACGTTGCTGCCTCGCTGGTCGCCTGGAGCGGCGAGAGCTGCAGCGCTGGTGTGGTGCACGAAGGCGAAGTGTACGGTCCCAAGGACCACGCTTGCCACGAGCCCGTTACCTTTGTCAAGGCATGTGGACACACCCAGAAGGTCGCGTGCGAAGTTGCATTTGACCTTGCCAAGCAGTCGAACGCATGCAACGTGACGGACGAGTTTGTGAACCCTGTTTGCGGGCACACGGTGCAAGGTCCATGTCATATGAAGCGCAGTGCGATGGCTGTCTTGCGACATCAACCTGCCGTCGCGACGATCGATGAAGGCGACGTCAGCCAGTTTGAGCCGTGTGCAACTTTCCAGCAGCTGAAGTGCAAGGTGCCCGTACTCTATCGACGTCGCTGCCAGCACCAGTGCACCATCCCGTGCAGTGCTGCGCAGGCCCAAAAGCATGTACCCAAATGCAGCGTGGCGGTTGTCGTGCCCAACGTGCTTTGTGGACACGACGTCACCGTGCCATGCGGGGACACGGACTTTCGAGGCTACAAGCCGTGGCCTGCCGGCGCCGCGGCACCGCTGGTCGCTGGCGTCCTCGTCGACTCGGTGCCTCCGCCGGCGCCGCTGCCCACAACCTGTGCGCATTCGAGCTGGGCCAACTGCCCGCAGATGGTCACTTTTGAGCGAAGCTCATCGTGTGGTCACAGCTTCGACATGCGCTGCGGTGCCGCGTTCAAACTCTTGGGCAAGACGTTGCCGCCGTGCAGCCACGACACTGTGGTACAGTTGCCGTGCAGTCACGAGCGCCAAGTCCAATGCTTTGAAGTCGACGGGCCACAAGCTCCATGCACTGAGGAAGTCTTGCGCGAATGCTGGAACTACGCGGCATGCCGCCAGCGGGTCGTGTCGCTTTGCAGCGAGACGGATGTCGTCGCGTCGTGCACGCGACGCACCGTGTGGCAGTGCCCGAGCAAGGTACACTCGATCGAGATTGCCCAGTGTGCCGAGGGCATTCCATCGGACTGTCCGCGATGTTCGATGGACGCCTTGGACGCTGAGCTGGCGCAAACAGAAGACCTCGTCGCGCGCTGCAGCCGTCGCAATCACAATGTCTCGCTGCAAGACGCAGTCAGCGACGCGATGGCATCAATGCCGCCAGCGCTACAGACGTACTTGGCGCCGTACGCTGTTCCGCTTGCGCTGCGCCAGTTTCTCGAACGCAAACTCGAGCTTCTCCATGGGTACAAGGCCGTGGTAGAACAAATGCCCGAGTGGCAGCAGCCGCTCTACGCGCCTCGCACACAGCTGTACTATGCGGTCTTGTCCAAAGCCCAGGTCAAGACCGTGGAAGCGATGGACCCCAAGAACTTTGTGAAGCAGGACACGCTGTACGGCATTTGTCTCCAAGAATGGACGGCAGCCAACGTGCAGTGGCTCAAGGAGAAGATGACACTGCTTCTTTGTGTCGGGTTTTCTTGTCGGACGCTCGACCCTACCACATGTGTACCCAAGCCCGACAAGAAGAAGATCGTGTGGTATGATGAGCAGCGCGCGCTCGGGGCCGATGCGATCCAGGTTGTTGCCAAGAAGCTCGAGTGCACGATCTTTTGGGACCCGTACACGGTCATGACCACGCACAAGGTGTGCCTCACGAAGCGCGACGTGAACGCGCTGCAGATGTACGCGTCACCGCACATCGACCGACACGTGCAGCTTGTGCGACGGATCGAACGCCGCATGCCTGGACGCCACGGCGCTGTCGCCTTGGACGAGAAGCCGCGCGCTTGGATGGACAACAGCGTCTTGGCCACAACGCGCCTCGCGGGCTTTCAGTTTCCCAGCCACTGGGACGGCACGACGCTCGTTTTGGCATCCACGCCGCGCTCGGTGCAGCTCGAGCTCGCCAAAAAGCTGCAGTCTTTACCACGGACAGCGTCGATGGCAGACGCGTCCCCGTTTGCGGGCATCCGCTACCTCCGCACTCTGCAGGAATCCATGGATCTGCCGGAGCTGAGTTTGCTTCACGCGTTGGAGCTGCTCCACTTGCCGGCCGAGACGACGACATTGACCGAGCTCGAGGTCTACATGCGCTACGTTCAAGACGCGCAGGTCGACGCACACCCACTCTTGTTTCTCGCGATGGGGCGCTGGACGAAGGATGTCTCGTACCTTCGGCTCTTTGCGTCGACGTACCCGAACGCGCGCGATGCGTGGTTGACGGCCGACGAGACGCGCGCGTTGTCCCCGGCGTCACAGACAGCAACGTTGCTGCCGAGCGACCCTTCGATCATGCAGCTCTGGGAAGAGCTCGCAGCCGCAGAGCACTTGAGCTCGGCTGCGATGGACGACCTTCTCGGCATGATTGGCATCGGCAAGGTGAAGCGCGCGGCCGTCCAGCTCTTCCAGTCGGCCCTAGCGCGCAAGAAGATGCCGCTTGCGATGCGGAAGAAGAACTCGTTGTCCTTCAACTTTTGCTTTGTCGGGAACGCGGGCACGGGCAAGACGACGGTCGCGCGGACCTTTGCGACGCTCTTGCACGAGTCGGGTCTGCGCGCAAAAGATGTGTTTGTCGAAACGAATGCGCAAACGCTCAAGGACGAAGGCGCCCCCGAGTTTCGAAAGCTCGCAGCATCGGCCATGGACGGCGTTCTCTTTATCGACGAGGCGTACGACTTGGACCCAAGCAGCGATTTCAAGGGCCGCGCAATCGTCTCGGAGCTACTTACGCTCTCTGAGAACCACCGCGACCGCCTCACGATCATCTTGGCGGGCTACGAAGACGACATGCAAACCAAGCTGTTCAGTTTCAACAAGGGCCTCAAGAGTCGGTTCCAGCTCATCACGTTTGATGACTTTGACGAAGTTGAGTTGCACGCAGTCTGGAACATGCAGCTCGAGGCGCGCGGGTGGACGGCGCCGCCTGAGCTCGCAACGATCGTCTCTAAGCGCCTCGCAATTGCCGCCAACACCAAGGGCTTTGGCAACGCCCGTGCCGTGCGCAAGGAAGTCGAGGCCGCCACCCAGAGCGCGATGGCCCGGCCCGCGTTTGACGGGGCGGCACCAGTGCTGTGCCTCGAAGATGTGGTCGGCGACCACCCGTTGCACAACCCCAAGCTCGAGCGTGTCTTGGGCGAGCTCGAGGGCAAGATTGGATGGGCCTCGATCAAGAAGAACGTCCGTGACCTCGTTCAGCATTGCGAGAAGAACCACCGACGACAGCTTTCGGGCCAGGCGCCGCTGCCATTGATGCTAAACCGCCTCTTCTTGGGGAATCCTGGCACGGGCAAGACGTCGTGTGCAGCGCTCTATGGCCGCATCCTCAAGGAGCTAAACTTGCTCTCGAGCGGCGACGTGGTGCTCAAGACCGCGAGCGACTTGGTCGGGTCGCACGTGGGCGAGTCGCAAACCAAGACGCAAGCGTGCTTGGAACTGGCCCGCGGCAAGGTCCTTGTCATCGACGAAGCGTACAACCTCGACGACAACCTCTATGGCAAGCA